AAGGAGTCAACTGGTCAAAGGAGTAATGTTATAGAGATAGAGTTTTTAAAAGAGAGAGAGGCCTAGAGAGGAAAACCTTCAAGAAAAAGAAAAAAAACCTAGCTTCAGTAGAAAGAGAAAAGAGAAAAGAGGAGAGGGAGAATAAAAGATAAAAAAAAGTATATAGAAGAGAGGGAAGAAAATAGGAAGAGAGAAATAAAGAGGTGAAAGAGGGAGCATAGGGAGAGGAAAAGGGGGAAGACGAAGAAAAGGAGCAAACAATTCAAAAATTTTCTAAAAAAAATATTTTCAAGTATAGAAAGGGGAGTGGAAAAGTGTTTTTTTTTTTTTTTGGTTTTTTTTAAAAGTTTTACTTCTAAAATTCTTAGATAAGTTTTTATAATAATAATTATTATTATTATTATATTTGTTATAAAATATTAATAATTTTTTTATTTTTTATATAAAATATTTCATATTATTACAAAATACTAATCATTTTTAAAAATATATATTAAATATATATATATATATATATATATATTTTGAAAAAGCAAAAGGCTATTATATTATATTTTATTATTATAATTTTAGACTTGCAGTATAAGATTTATAATATATTTACAGTATAACATATATCTCTCTTTGCTAGGAAGAGTTAAATGCCAGGCTCTGCAAACGTGGTCCATCCTCTGTGCTCCTTAGTACCATCCAAGAATATAGAAAAAGAAAATTCAAAATCTATATTATACCTTGAATAGTGTTTAACTATCTAGAAAAATTGGATACCTAGCCACATGAAGGCACTGCAGTCACTATATACAGGTTGGTCTCCAAGTCATAATTAAAATTAACAAGTTTGCTTTCCAAATGTGGCTTGATATATGGCAAGCCAAAATATATTTCATCTTATACTTCCTTTGAATAACTGCTTAATTAGTTAAATGGCTGTTACACCAATACAAATATCTCATAGAGATTAGCCTTTCATCTGATTACCTAGTATTTGACCTTTTTTATCTTTCTAGAATTGCAGCAGATTACAAATTGATCAGACCTGTGGCAGTTGCCTACATCTGTGACAAGTAGGGAAGGGGACAACTGCTCTTCATAAGAAGCTTTGTATATATAGCTACACCATTTAAGTATTTGAATAGAATCCAGCACCAGTATAAAGCAGGTAAAGGTGAGAGAAAAGTGTTTGGACATATAGTAATGGTTGTTAAAGGAAGTTGTCAAATATAATAGAGTTGAAATTTCTTATAGATGTTGTTACCTAATCTTGTACAATGAGTCTATATTGTTGAAAAAATAAACAAGAAACTTTTATTGTTGTCACTAGCTCGTATTGCGAAAGTAACTAGAATACTTGGTCTTCATGTATTATTCTACTAGGTTATCCAATCACTAGCATGACACCTGTACACTAACCTAGCTTATTGTTAGCTGCATTGGTATTGGCTGTCATATCTTTCTGAATACAGTAGGGCACAACTCCTTGAATACTTTTGAATAATAATAGTTATATACCGGTTTCTTAAATATATCTAATTTAATTATCAACAAGTAAACAATACCAGATTTGGTAATGATGACCATGTCAATCTTTTGGAGGGGTAAGCCATCCATTCTTTTTTTGTGAGGCTATATAAGAGAGAAAAATTCTGAAGCCTATATCTTAAAAGAAATTATCACTTCTGCATATGGTCTTAAGAAAAGGGAGTCAACTGGTCAGAAGATTGATGTTATAGAGAGTAAGTTTATAAAAAAAAGAGAGGCCTAGAAAAAAAACCTTCAGAAAGAAGGAAAAAACTAATTTGGCAAGAAAGAGAAAAAAGAAAAAGGAGAAATAAGTTTTATATAAAAGAGTTTATAGAAAGAAGGGGTAAAAATAGGAAAGAGAAAATAAAAAGGTATGAAAAAGGGAAATAAAAGAGAGGAAAAAGGTGAGAGTAAAGAAGAAAGAGTAAACAACTCAAAAGTTTCCTAAAAAGGAAATTTCCAAGTGTAGAAGGAAAGTGGGAAAGAGTTTTTTTTTATTACTTTATTTTTTAAAATATTTATATTTTATATTTATTTAAACTTATATTTGTTATAATATTTTTTTAATTTTGATATACAGTATGTTTTATTTAAAAAAAAAAAATGGTATTAAATATAGGTTTTATTGCATATTTTTAGAATATTTATAATTTTGATACATTAAATATTCTTTATAGTAACTATAGCTAAATATCAATCTATTTGTTATTATTCCTAACCATATACTTCACACTTTTAAAATAAATTATATATATTTGAAAACCTATTTAAAGAATAGAAATCCTATTACTAGCTTAAACTATTTAACTTATCTATTTAATTTTTGAACATGTACCATAGTTGATTAACTATCAACTATTATATATAAGTTATTTATTACATCCTATCTTTTATTTTTGCAACTATAGTTTTAAAAAATTTTTGATATACAATATATATGCACTTTCTAATAAATACTTCTAATCAATAATCAGGTTAACTTTGACTATCAAGTCTAAAAATATAAATATCAAATAAGACACAACTCTTACATATTATGAAAGTATCCAGAAGTCATGAAAATAATATTGATTTAATATTTTTTTTAAAGCTTCTTACTTGACCATCAGCAAGAAAAAGAAAATTAATGACTTGGAATTGGTTAAGATAAAGTATAGTCTAGTTTGTATTTCCAAATGTGTAGTAGGTTTTGGTTATCCTAATGATTATTTATCAATAATACAAATTCGCACTTCAACTCTCGCTACATATATTGTATTTATACTCTATTACTATATATCTATAACTTTTACAAAGGATGAAAAAATTACATTACTTTTTTTTAATATCGGATTGTCGCTATACCTATTTAGGTAACGAAAGTATTTTTTTTAAACTTTTTATAATATAAAATTGAATAAGTTTTAAAAAACTATATATTGCTTCTATTTAATTTTGATAATATTTAAAAAAGTAATGCATAATTTCTTTCCTCCCGTATATCGCATATAAAATCCGTCATTCAATGATGGGTCTTTCACTTAGTAATAATAATAATTAAAATTTTTGTTAAATTAGAAATTATAATTTTTTAACTATATTAATTATGTCATTTAGCTGTGGATCCATAGTGTAGTGATTAACATTCCACAAGTCAAATCACAAGATACCAGTTCAACTCCAGGTGAAGGTAGTTGAATTGAATTAAGAATGGTATCTGGAGCCATAACCTGTTAAGCCCTGTTTTCTATAGGAAGTCATTCGCACGCTGATCCAGTGGGATGTTGGAATTGTGATCTTCAAGAAAGGTGTGTAGCAGGATGATCGTCCAGAAAGTGGTATGATAATCATCCAACAGAAGCCAAGAACCAACCATACATTTAGATGCACAGACTGGGTTATGCTTCATTTTAACTAACCTGAGTGAGAAATTCCACACTGTTAACTTCCGAATAAGGTAACTTTGAAAAAGCACGCTGAACCAACACTAATATCTTGTGAACATGGTTCTCTGGCGGCTTATCGTGTCTGTAGGAGTTGTGCCCTACTTGACATTCGTGCCCCTAAATTTGGCAGCTAACGCCAACTAGCCCCTCTGGATATGTCTACTAGGAGACAGGGACCCTGGAAATAGGTGGTTAATAACCATCCGTCTGGCCTATATGGGTCCCTGTGGAGTTACGCCCCAATTGGTCAAAAAGGATCCCTAGGTTTGGTAGCAAGTGACCAACCAGAGGATAAAATAGGTTTGGAGTATTTACTAGGGAGTGCAGACCCATGTGAAGTCTCTCTGTCGCATTAGCTGTGTGAGTGAAAAGGTGTGTAGTAATAAGTTACTTATAGAGGATAGTTAGTAGTACCCTATTGTTCCCACACAAAAATTGGACTGGTAGGTTAGGTGGTTTAAACTAGTGGTAGGAATTCCCCCCTAGATAGGTCCCCCCAAAGATGTGAAAAAATACTTCAAGAGTGTCAGATTAGTATTAACAGACAAAATAGTTGATAAGCTAGCATTAAGCTGTAGTGTAACAGTTACAGAAGATGTTTAATGTATTGTATAGATATGTTTAAGTATCAATAAAGACTTGTATCTAATGCCATTCAACTTTAAAAAAAAAAAAAAAAAATTATGTCATTTAATAATAATAGTAATTCTTATATTTTAACCTTTATAGATATCAGCAGAGTTTTAGTTGCTATTTTCGGCCGCAGAGGGGGGTGTTCTTTATGCACTACTCGTGTAGGTGCGCTTACAATAATTTCAAGTGAAATTTTGAATTATGTAGAAATGGTATACAATAATTTATCTACATTACTAAAGCGCTAACCTCTGTCCAGCTTTGGCGTAAGGACCAGTGGTTGGCGTGAAATAAAATAATGTCAGCGTTATTCAAATTGAGCTACTTCAAAGTTGGAATCCGATGCGACACTATGTTTCCCAAAATAAATAGAAAGTATTCATTGAATATTATTTACCTTGACATAAACTTCCTACCTTAAAATCTAAGACACCAAATTATAGACAGAACCAATCGTTTTTAGATCGTAGTCAATATATGTATTACGTTTAATTACATCAGAAATGTACAAATATTTGTTTTTTTATGGTACGTGTAGCATGTCACCTCACAAAGCAAGAACGAAGAGAAGTAGATAAAAAATAATTTATTATAAATCTTAAATATAAAGCACGGACATAAGAACATATTAAATTTTTATCTAATAAAATAATTATTTTATTCTATCTTAATATTTATATTTTTATTTGCTATCTTCAAATTTTACTTAAAAAATATAAATTCCTATAGTACAGAAACTTCACTCGAAATCATTGTCAGCGCACCTGCACAGGTGACGCACAAGTGCCGTAAGGGTGCCGCACGAGTGACGCATAAAGAACACCCCCTCTGCGACCGTAAATAGTTTATCGCGTCATGAATCACGGGATATTTTTAATAAATTATACTTTTTCGTGATCGAGTCATAATATTTCCATCGAAATGTCTGAGAACACAAAAAGGTATTCTTTCTTAAAAATAAATATTTATTATTGAACGTGTGTAAATTTCTTTGTATATTACAGACCAAGAATTAAGAAAACTTATGGTAAACAGAGAGCCGAGAACGCGTTAATGTGAGCGAAATTTTTATCACTTTTGTTGTCAAATTATATTAATGTTAAAATAAATTTAATGTTGAAGTCAATCGCGTAGCCTATCTCCCAAAAATAATTGCATTCTTGGTGACTTGACAAACCTACAAAGAAATAAGGAAAATATTCTAGAGCAGTTTCAGAATGGAAAATTATCAAAAAAACGCGTTGCACCTACAAATATGTATGATGGCTTGCCCGTTGAATTGAAGAGAGAAAAAGACGCTTTAGGAAAGGCGTCACAAAAACCAATTTCCGAGTTTTTCAAACCAATATTTGTAATTTCAGATGAAAATGAAGATTCGGGGAATAGATGTACAAAGAAAAAAAAGATGAATTCCATGATTCCGCATTTCGATTCGGAAAATAAAATATCCGCCATCACTACTACCGAGATTAAAAGACATGTCAAAGAATATGAACAATTGTATCTTGATTTTGGACAAAAGAGTTTTAATGCATCCACCTGTCCAGAATGTCATATGTCATATAATCGGGGTACAATCGATGATGAGGCACTACACGCAAAATATCACCAGGCTATTGTAGGAGGAATAATTTATACAGTAAGGATGCTAATTTTTGTGTCTTCCGCCCTAACATTGAGCTCCTCGTAACTAAATTTATTTGCTACTTAACAGAGCTACAAGAATGAAATATTACTACAGCAATATCCCGAAGATAATGGTAGTCGTATTGTGATGTTAACATTCAATCAATCGAGTCCCTTTGAAAAAAGAAAGGTATGTCCATATTGAGGTTCATTAAATACAAACTTTTTTAACACAACCATAATTTTGTTCTAGATACGCCAAATTCTTGACGTGATTGATACTGAATTATGTGCAGTAAAATTAAATGAAGAAAAATTAGATCAATGCAAAATATATTTATACGTTACGGATAAAAAAAAGGTTGTAGGATGCGTTGTGGCTGAAACTATATCGCAAGCGTACAGAGTCGTTGAGGATGACAAAGGCATGGTTCTGCAAATTGGAACATCAAGTGATGGTTCCGCAATATTTTGTTGGTACGTTTTTATTTACCTATAACTTAATATTCTACAACATAAATTAATAATTTAAATTTAAATAGTACCAGACCTGTTCGTGCAGTATGTGGTATTAGTCGCATATGGGTATCAAGAAAACACCGGAGAAAGGGGATTGCAACAAAATTACTGAATAATATTAGGTACATGGTTTGCTAGATGTGTTGAGGATTATTATTATAAAGCTTAATCTCTTCGTGTTGTTGTAGAACTCATTTTATATTCGGATGTACTCTCAAGCCCGAAGACTTTGCTTTTTCGCAACCAACTGGAGATGGGAAAGCATTCGCCTCTCGTTATACTAAAACTTCGGAGTTTCTTGTATATGCTGAGAGATAAACGTCCTTAATTTCACTTTAATACGATGTGTTTTCGACAGTCCATTAAAGGATAATTGTATCAGATAATTTCAATAAATAATAAATCAAAAGCATTCACTACAAAGTGAAATAATAAAAAATAAATAGGATGCTTGCAAATAATTATTATTTTGTAAACATCAATAATCTTTAGTTTGCTATCTTTAACTAATCTGCTGAATTTAAGAAAGTAACTTATGTCATTAATGTTAAGTTCAACTATGCTGAAGACGATGATCTACTATTATTATTCTTTTTAATAACATTTTATGTAAAAGATTATTTCAGAAATTACTATTTAAAAAATGGATAGAACTTATGATCTAGTATATAATTCAATATTTTAAAATCTTATTAACAACCCTAGTTTATAAATAATATTTAATTTCAAACTTTAATTGTTTTATTTTAAAAACATAACACTTGCAAAATTAATTTACATTCTTAAGAGATCTATCCTAGTAATTATTCTTAATTAGTATCTTTATTGCAGATATGAATAATAAATGTTGTTGATAAGTTGTAACTTTTGTATAGGTTATATTAATTGTTTTACTAAAAAATCTTTATAATTTTTTATAAATCATAAATCAAGATCAAAATTTTTAAAAAAAATATTTAAACCTATTTAATTATAGAAAATAAATATTTTAATATATTATTTTTTTTAAATATTTTTTTTATTATTGTAAAAAAATATATAAATAATTTTATTTAACAAAAATATCTATAATTATTATATCAATTATCTTTTATTTAAATAAAAGTTAACAATGATTATCAATATTATCTATTATACTTGATTTAAATTTATTTTATCAAATTATATCTTTAACAAATTTACAATTTATAAAATTAAGCAGTCTACTTAAGTTTCAAGATTTTATCTTAGCTTTAAAAAAGTATTAACTATTCAATATTAAAACTAAACCAAGTTATATTATCCTTTAAATTGTAGGACATTTTTTTTATAATGTTTAAAATTTTTTAATTAAAAGATTGCTTTTTATTTATTTTTTCAAATAATCAAAATATTTTTCTAAAAATTTATATAATATTAGTTTAAATTATATATTATCTATTGAAAGTATTTATTTTTTATTTATTTAATAAAAAAATTAAGTTTAATTATAAGCAAAAATTTTAATTTTTTAATAAAATTTTTTAATAAAAGTTGATCTTAGACAAACTTGAAAATTTTTTAAATTAAAGTTCCTATAATAATAATCAGTTTTGTAGAAATATTTGCAAAGAATAACTTTAATTATTATAATTTTAATAGTTTGATTTTAAAAATTTTAACTTGTATTAGAAATAATTTTTTTACTTTAAATATATATTAATTTTTATATAATTTTTTATATTAAAATTTAAACACAAGGTTTAAAATTATTTATTTTGAAAATTTGCAATAAAATTTTAATATTTTACTTAATAAAGTTAATAAAAAATATCTTAAACTATATTTTTTATAATATAAATAAGTTATAAAAATTAATATTTAAAATTTTAATAAAATTTTAAATATATAAACAAATTTGCCTACATTATAATTTAAGAAATAGTATTATTTTGAAATATTGTACCATCAAGAATTTAATTATTTTCTAATGCTTTAATTAACCAAAGATCTATTGCTTCATTTTATTATAATAAAAAATATTTATAATATAATTTTTAACAATAAAAAAACAATATTTAAAATTAAATAAAAATAATTTTTTTAAAAAAAAAAGATTGAAAAAAAAATTATATTTCTATACAAATATTTGAATATTATAATGAATCAGTTTTTCACAATATATTCAATAAATTATTTGAATACATGTGTAATTTAATTAACAAGAACAAAATTAAGAAAATTATGGATAGGAAATTAAAATAGTATAGATAATTAAAAAATAAGTAGAAAAATAAATATTTTCAAAAAAAAAAAAAACTCTTTCCTATTTCTCTCAAATTTTAAAAAACTTTTCTTTTTTAAAAACTTTAACAAGACAAATATTGTTGAGGCTTGTTAAGTTATTTCTTCTTTTAAAAAAAACTTTTTCTTTTTCTTTATCATTATCGAAAATAAAAATTCTCTTCTAAAGAAGCTGACTGATTGTTCCCTTCTTACTATAATCTAAAAGATTTAGGTTAAGTAGGTTTAGGTGTTATAGGTGGAAGGTTAAATCCTGGACTTATTAGATGAAAAACTAACTTCATTTCTTCAAGATAAAGAGTTACTTCTGTCAATACTAATACAAAAGCTTCCTATACTTTAAAGACCTGTTACATATGAGTCAACTTTAAAAGTTTAGTTGTAAAGACTTAAGCTGGGACTCTTGATTGGACTCCTCAAGATTGAACACCTTGTGAATAAAGGTTGCATAAAAAAAGCCTTTGGTTTGACATCTTTTTTACTTATATACAGTATGTTACAAAAAAAATAATACATATATTTTTTGTTATAACTTAATAAATAATTATTAAAAATTTATAAAAATTTATAAATATATAGTTAAATATCTTAT